GGTCGTCCAGGCACAGCAGGCGTGGCACTTTCTCGACACCACAGGGGGTGCACAGGGGGTGGTCCCTGAGCTCGGCCGCTATGCACGACGGTCGTCCAGGCACAGCAGGCGTGGCACTTTCTCGACGCCACAAGGGGTGCGCAGGGGGGTGGTCCCTGAGCGCGGCCGCTATGCACGAGAGTCGTCCAGGGCATAGCAGGCGTGGCACTTTCTCGACGCCACAAGGGGGTGCGTTTGGAGTGCGGTCGCTATCTGTTTCGGGCTCGCAAAGTGTGGCTGGCGCGGCGCTTCTCCTCTTCCACCTCTCCTCTTGAGTGGCGTCACCGACGGTATCGGCGGGGCAACGGCCACCAACGTCATTCTCACATGCTTCACTCCAGCTATCATCACTCCAACCATAATATAAGTATGTGGGGTTCCTCGGTAGCGTAATTCACGTCACCGCTCGCTTGTGGGAGCCTTGGTGGTAAGAGCCTGTTACGTCTCTGCTCGATATGGGGAGCCTTGGCGTTGAGTTTGTTACGTCATTGCTCGCTATTGGGAGCATTGGTATTCAAAGCATGTTCTGGCACCGCTTCCTGCAAAAAGGGCTCTACAATCCCCTGGGGCTCTTGGGAGCCTTGGCATCAAAGACGTGACCGTCACTGGACTGTCGCTCCTGGAGGCATTTGGGGAGCCTCTTGGGGGTCTACTGGGGGCCTTGGGGGGCCTCTTGGATGCCTCTGGGGCAGTCATGATACCTCGTGGGCCATCTTGTGGCCCGCATGGGCCGCCTTCGAGCCATTATAGGCCGTTTGGGGGCCCTCCTGAACTATCTTAGGGCGGCCCCCACGTTGCCTCCAAGAGCGTCTCAAGAGGCCCCAAGAAGAAGACCCCAAGACGGCCCAGTGACGGACACAGCTCTAACGCGAAAGTCTTTTTTGAGACGAGTCGGTCACGTTACAAAATTGAACGCCAAGGCTCCCAAGAGCGAACAGTGGTTTCAAAAGCTCAAACGCCAAGGCTCCAAAGAGCGAGCAAAGATGTAACAAAGTCGTAACGTCAAGGCTCCCAAGAGCAAACTGTGAAATGACACAACTCGTAAAGCTATTACTTCCAAGAGTGAACGCTGACGCAGGAAGCTCTGAACGCCAAGGCTCCCAAGAGCGAACAGTGAATTAACAAGTTGTTAAAGGCAAGGCTCCCAAGAGCGACCGGTGACGTAATAAGCTTTTAAAGCCAAGGCTCCCAGGTGCGAACGGTGACGTGAAAAAGTTCCGAATGCCAAGGCTCCGAAGAGCAACCGGTGACGTGAGAAAGCTCCGAATGCCAAGGCTCACAAGATTGAACGGTGACGTAAAAAACTCTCAATGCCAAGGCTCCCAAGAGCGAAGTGGAACGTAAAAAGCTCGTAACGACAAAGCTCCCAAGAGCGAACGGTGACGTAAAACAGCTCTTAAGGCCAAGGCTGCCAGGAGCAAACGGGGACGCAAAAAACTCCTTAACATCAAGGCTCTCAAGAGCGAACCGTGCAGTGAACAAAAACTCTTCACACCAAGGCTCCGAAGAGCGAACGGAACCGTGAGTCCTACTGGGCAAATTCCTGAAGCGCTCTTTCCGTTTATGTGCTTAGCCCAGGTGGTGGAAAGAGAGAGGTACGAGAGATGACGTTCTTGTGGGACGTATGGCCCTCCAGGGAGACTTTCCAGAGGAGGGGCGAAGGAGAGGGAACTGGGCGTCAACACGTCCGCGCCCCCCCCAGCAAAAAAATAAGCCTGAGTGAGTGCCCGGAAGGGCCACGGGGCCCCCAACACAGCCGAAGCCGCGCACAAGACGGCCTAATACGCATCCAAGACGGATGCAGAGAAGCTCAAGAGGGCTCCAAGGAGGCCGCTGGGGCAGTTCTGGTGTCTGTTGGGCCGCATCGCAGCCCTCTTGGGTCGTCTTGGAGCCCTCGTGGGCAGTCTTGGGGCCCCTCTTGGGCCGTCTTGAAAGTATCTTGGGCCGTTCTCGGCCCATCTGTGAGGCCTCTGGGGCCACCCTGGGCGATCGGAGGCCCGAAAAGGTGAGAACCCGAAAATTCGCCAAAAATATGTGAAATACCAACGACTGCTGCACAACACTGCTATCTTGGAAGATTGTTGGGACCCTCTGCGGGCGTCTTGGAGACACGTGGGGCAGTAGTGAAGCCATATCGGGCGCTCTTGGCTCTGGGAACCCTATTGGACCGTCTTGGGGTCCACTTTGAACCTCTCTGAGGCCGTCTTGGGGTCTCTTCGGCAGTCTTGGGCGCCTTCTTGGGCCGTCTTGGGGGCCTCGCGGGCCGCACCGTGCACCCATGTGGCCCGTCTTGGCCAAAAGTGTGCCGCGTCACGACCGTTTCCGCCCGCTTCGCCCCCCCCCGAACCCGGCTGGGGCCATACAGAATTATCAACTTCTGCGCGCCCTAACGTTTTCGTGTGCGGAGCTGGGCGCCCGAACGACCGAACGACCGAACGACCCCCGTCGCGGGACAGAAACAATGGATACAACGCTGGCCGCGCAAAGGCGCCCGAAACTCCACCACGGCCCGCCCTCCCCATGGCGCTTCCCTCCACTACTGAAGGGGCCCCAGGACACACAAATAGATACACACACAACAATATTCCCCATATTTTTCCGTATCTTCTGGGTTTTCGTCTTCCCCCCCACTTCCCATATTTTCCCATATTTTCCGGGGAGTCGACGATTCATTGTGTCTGTGTCTTTTTTTGCCTCCTGAACTATAACATCATCACTGGGCTGGCACCAGAGAACGGAAAGAGCGTTTCAGGAATTGGCCGGGGTGGGCCCATCGCGCCCTCTGTTCTCGGGAGCCCTGTCGTGGAACAAAGTGTCGCATCACCACTTGCTCTTGGCAGCCTTTGCGGGAATTTGGAGGCCCGGAAATGAGCACCAACACAAACACAAGGGATTGCCTCCGCCGGGGAAGGTGACCACAGATTTCGGTGTTGGTGGTACTATTTCGGTCACCTCGGCAGCCAGAATATTACCACCGTCACCGAGATCGGGATCGTCTTCCTTCGGTGGAAGCACACCGCCGACCTTAGTGTTGGCGTCGACCTCTAGGCCTGCGATTAGTAGATTTTTGAGTCACTGTTCGCTCTTGGGAGCCTTGGCGTTCAAAGCGTTTTACGTCACCGACTGGTCTGAGAAGAGCGGTTCCGTTCCCCCGAGCTCCTGGAAACCTTGGCGTCCAACCGTGTCCGTCACTGGGGCGTCTTGGGGCCCTCCCAAGGGGCACCTCGAGGCGCTTTTGGAGGCATCTTGGGGCTGCGGTCCAATGGGGACCTTTGGGGTCGTCTCGGTGCCTTTTGGGCCGTCTTGGGACCCGTATTGGGTCATCGTGGATCACTCTTGGGCCGTCTTGGGGCCCTCCTGGGCCGTCTTGGAGACCTCGTGGACGCTCTCTTGGAGCCCTCCTGGACAGTCTCCGAACCCTCTTGGGCCGTATTGGACTTCGGCCGTCTTGAGGCGACTCGGGAGGCCCCATGGAGTCACCTTGGGCGGTCGGAGGCTGGAAAGGGCGAGACGGCCAGAAGCACGTGAAAACCCTAGGATCACCAATGAATGTTGCGTCTCCCTGTCATCCTAGAGGCCTCTTGGGACCCTCTTGGAGCGTGTTAGAGACCTTTTTGGGCCGTGTTGGGGCCAAAATGGCTTCACTCGGAGCGCTCTTGGGCCGTCTTGGGGCCCACTTGTGCTCTGCTGGGTCCGTCCTGGATGCACGTCGGGCCATAGTGGGCGCGCCGCCGGCTGTCCTGGGAGGCATCCTGGCCGCTCCGGGCACCCCCTTTGGCTTCTCTGGGCACCCATCTCGGGCCGCCTTTGGAGGTGGGGAGGTGCTCGCTTGCGTCGCCGGCGGCGAGGCAGAGTCTGCTGCAACAGCGATGGAGCTACAAACGGGGGCAGCGAGGAGCGCATCGGCCAGCGTGCAGGAGCGGGGAGGGGACAGACCGAGGCGGCCGCGGAGGGGGGGGTGGGGAGCTCACGCTCACTCACGCGCTCCTCGGCCCTCCGCCTGGAGCCCCTCCCTGGCGGGCGATTCGCCTCGCCAGAACGCCACCTCCCGTGCCTCGCGGCTTCCGTCCACTGGGCGGGCACGGAAATGCAAAGAGTGTTGTGGTAACTTGCCCGAGAGGGCTCATGGCACCGCTCGCTCTCCGGGGGGGGACTGGCGTGCGGAGCTTTTGTCACCGATTCGTGCCAAGAAGGCTCTACGGTCCCCTGGGGCTCCTGACGCCTTGGCATCGAAGAGGTGTACGTCATCAGGCCGTCTGAGGGCGGGAGCCGTGTGTCCGCCACAGGGCCGTCTTGGGGTTTTCCTGGTGGGCCTCTTGAGACACTCTTGCGGGTATCGTGGGGGCGGCTTGAAGTTATGTTGCATCCTCGAAGGACCTTGTCTGTCCCGTCGCCGCCCTATCCGCGTCGAATCCATGTCGGCCTCGTCGGACCCGCGTCGGCTCCACGCCAAGTCCGCGTCGAGTCTGGATCGAACCCGCGTCTTGCAGAAGAAAAGACCCCACCTTGGGGGACAGGCGAGGTCCCCGAGAGGTTTTAGTGAAGGCTTTGGGGCCGTCCTAGGGCCTCTTGGAGGCCTCTGGGGCAATCTTGGTGCATCTTGGGCCGCCTTGGGGCCCTCCTTGGCCGTCTCAAAGCCCTCTTGGGCCGTCTTGGGGCCCTCTTGGATGGACACTCTCTTAGGGGATATATTGCATCGTTTTCGGGCTGCCTTGGGCCCGTCTTGGGGGTCTCTTTAGCCGTCTTGGGGCGCTCTGGGAAGCCCCTGCGGGCGGTCGGATGCCCGAACAGGCGAGAAGGCGGCGAAAACTTGGAAAACCGAATAAAAAACAACACCTGTGGAAGCCGAACGACATGCGCTGTGGCATGACGAGCCTTGCCACGGGAGCGCCCAGCATGTCCTGGGTGTCGACGATGTAAAAGTCTGACTGACCCCCGCGCAAAAGGTCACGAGCTAGCCGTCACTGGCCTGGCACCCAACACCCGTGGAAGCCAAACGGCACGCGCTGCGGGATAGCAAGCCTTGCCACGGGCGGGCCCGCGATGTTCTGGGCGTCGATGATGTGAAACTCGGACTTCCCCGCATCTAGACGGCTCCGCGTAAGGGTGACCTTTGGCAAGGGTAACCTTTGGTGAGCGCCTGGCTGAACGAAATCCTTTCTCTATCATTCCCCAGGCTGCTCCCAAGGCCCAAACCGACTAGAACAGAAAAGCAAAAAAAAAAAAAAAAAAAAAAAAACGCCCCACCGGCTGCGTACCAGAAGTCACCCCAGCGAAGAGTCACCCTTGCGCGCTGCCGATCTAAGTCATGCGCGAACATCACAAGCCAGCCGTCGTCCTCCACGACGCTCCCAGGCCGCGGCACGTACGCGACCTCCTGTCCCGCGAGGTTCCCGGGCAGCACCCTTTCCTCCGTGCTCACCTCGCCGCCGTCGCCGAAGGTGTACTTCTCGATGCCGCCGACGAGCGGGCTTCCACTTCGAGCGGCGTTGCTCTTGCCGCGGTCGTAGAACACGCAGTAGCCGAAGCGGTGGGGCTGCCCTGTGTACCTTTGGTTGATCACAGGGAAGTCAACAAAATGACCGCGTCCGACTCGCCGCTCATCGACAGAACCTGAGGGAGGGCATTTCGCCCACAGCAGGTGACGCAGCTGCGTGGAGTCAAAATCTAGAGTAAGGACGCAAAGTGAGGATGCAAGCAGCTTGGGCGTCCAGTTCATAGGTTCATAGGTCCTTGGACGCCAATGTTGGCCCAGGATAGGTCGGAGAAGCAAGGATGCAAGGGTAGCCTTGCAGGAGGACATTGTTGCAGTGGGTTTTGACTGTAGCAACATGCGCCAGCCTCACACCTACACACCAGGCGGTGTCTCGCCCCCTTCGACCCGATGATCTGGCCGGTGTGATTTGGCCTGGAAGTGGGTGTGCGCCGCCAGGCACCTCATACACCTACGGAGGGCGAAATTACCTCCCCGAGAACCGCTGCTCAAGTTCAATCTCCACTCTCGCAGCATGGGTGCGATTCCCGAGGCCTTCCGGCCCCCAGAGAAGAACTTGCTCACGGCCTCGGCGCGGTCCAGAGAGCCGTCGGCCTTCCACTCGTAGTGGTCCAGAACCACGGAGTCGGCATAAACCCCGCGCACGATGACGTCGTCTCCGTCCTCGAAAGCACTCATGAGGTGGAAACCGTAGCCACTGGAGACGTCAAACCACTGCTGCACGTCGCTCCCGCCGCGCGGCATGAGGCCGATTCTGGCCGGCGCGTCGTGCTGGAAGGACATCATGCCTTCCTCTGAATAGAACAATCGACCGACGTCGATCGTCAGCGGGAAATCAGTGATGACAAGAAAATTCTCCGTGATGGCCGTGTCGTGCATGAACGTGTTGCGGTCCGCGCTGGGCACCTCGGTGGAGTGCCTGAGCACGCCATCGGGGCCCACGATGCCCGCGTGTATGCCGACGCGACCGTCCTGGGCATCCTTAAGCCGCCGCCATGCCTGGCAAGGATGAGGCGTGCTGGACCTCCCTCGAGCGTCGTCGCCGTTGCTGTCCGCCTTCGCGGGGCCTCCTCGCCGCCACGGCGGGGCGCGGCTCGAAAAGAGCTGGTCAAAATGGACCCTGGTCCAGGGACCGATTTTGAGCGGAGTTGTAGTCCGCCACCGCGCCTGCGCAGACGCGGCGTGCTGGAGTGCCCGTGAGCTGTCCTGTAAGGTGGCTGTCGCCAGCGTGAGGTCACAACCCCGCCCCCACCCCTTCCGAGGAGGCTGAGGAGGGCTATGAGGAGGACCTAGCGGCCTGCACGCGGAGGGAGGAGGAAAAAGAAGAGGAGGAGGAGGAGGAGGAGGAGGAGGAGGAGGAGGAGGGAGGAGGAAAGAGGAAGAGGAGGTAGAAGGAAGAGGAGGGAGGACGAGGAGGAGCGAGGAGGGAGGAGAAGGGAGAAGGAGGGCCACCGCTGCCTCAACTGGCCCTCATCTGGCGAGCCGCTCCACTCTGGGATCGACAGGGAGATGGTGATACATCAGGCCAGGTGGAAGGACATGGCCTCCTCCTGCTCCTCCTTCCCCTCCTCTTCCTCATCCTCCCATCTCCTCCTCTCCCACCTCCTCCCCCACCCCCTCCTCCTCCCCCAGCCCCTCTGGCGCGTAGCACGGCGGCGGATTCGTTGGAGGCGGTTGGATAGACCATGCCGCATAGAGTAGCTCTCCTGTCCTCGGGTCGACCTTCGGGTGCGCGGTGAAAGAGGGCAGTCCTGTTCCTCCTCCTCCTCCTTCTCCGCCCGCGGCCCCGAAGTCCACGGACCCCAGCACCGACAGGTCCTCGGGGCAACTCTGAAGCTTCCTCCTCCTGCTCCTCCTCCTCCTTATCCTGATCCTGATCCTCATCCTCATCCTCATCCGCACCCTCATCCTCATCAGCCCTCTTCTTACTCCTGCTCCTCAGCCCTACCTCGTCCTCCTCCTGCTCCTCCTCCTCAGCATCATGATCCTCCACCGCCTCCTCCTCCTCCTCCTCCTCCTCCTCCTCCTCCTCCTCCTCATTCTCATCATCATCATCATCATCATCATCATCATCATCATCATCATCATCATCATCAGCATCATCATCAGCAGCAGCAGCAGTATCAGCCTCATCATCAGCATCGTCAGCATCATCATCAGCAGCAGCACCATCAGCATCATCATCCTCATCATCATCATCATCATCATCATCATCAGCATCATCATCATCATCATCATCATCATCATCATCATCATCATCATCATCATCATCATCATCATCAGCATCATCATCATCATCATCATCATCATCATCACCACCACCACCACCACCATCATCACCGTCATCACATCATCATCATCATCATCATCATCATCATCATCATCATCATCATCATCATCATCATCATCATCATCATCATCATCATCATCATCATCATCATCATCATCATCATCATCATCATCATCATCATCATCATCATCATCATCATCATCATCATCAGCATCGTCATCATCATCATCATCAGCATCATCATCATCATCATCAGCATCATCATCATAATCGTCATCATCATCATCATCATCAGCAGCATCGTCATGATCAGCAGCATCATTATCACCATTATCATCATCAGCATCAGCATCATCAGCATCGTCATAATCATCATCATCATCATCATCATCATCATCATCATCATCAGCATCAGCATCGTCATGATCAGCAGCAGCATCATCAGCATCATCATAATCATCATCATCATCATCAGCATCAGCATCAGCATCATCATCATCAGCATCATCATCAGAATCATCATCACCATCAGTATCAGCATCAGCATCATCATCATTATGATCAGCAGCATCATCATCATCATCATCAGCATCAGCATCAGCATCATCAGCATCGTCATAATCCTCATCATCAGCATCATCATGATCAGCAGCATCATCATCAGCATCATCATAATCATCATCAGCATCATCATCATCAGCATCATCAGCAGCATCATCATCGTCATCAGCATCATCATCAGCATCATCAGCATCATCAACATCATCATCATCATCATCATCATCAGCATCAGCATCAGCATCAACATCATCAGCATCAGCATCAGCATCAGCAGCAGCAGCATCATCACCATCATAATCACCATCATCAGCATCATCAGCATCAGCATCAGCATCATCAGCATCGTCGTCATCATCCTGATCAACGGCAGCCAGCATCATCATCATAATCATCATCGTCATCATCAGCGTCATCATCATAATCAGCAGCAGCATCATCAGCATCATAATCATCGTCGTCAGTATCATCCTCATAATCAGCAGCAGCAGCCTCGTCATTATCATCATCAGCATCAGAATCGTCATCATCATCGGCAGCAGCATCATCAGCATCAGCACCCTCATCATCATCATCATCAGCATCAGCATCATCATCATCATCATCATCAGCAGCAGCAGCAGCAACATCATCATGATCATCACACAATTTCACCTGATCCTCCTTCTCCTCCTCCCGTCCCTCCTCCTTCGCCTCCCTCCTGCCTACTCCTCCCCCTCCTCCTCCTCATCATCATCCTCCTCATCACCACCATCCTGATCCTCCTCATCATCAACATCCCTTTTCCTCCTCTTCCTTGTCCTCCTCCTCCTGCTCCTCCTCATCCTCTTCCTCCCTCTCCTCCTCCGCCTCCTCCTTCTCCTCCTCCTTGCGGGAGGGAGCGCTGCAGCTACGCTGCGTGGTGGCTCAAGGCCCGAGCAGGCCCACGCGCTACCGCAGGTTATGAGCCCCCCCGAATGATGCAACGGCGATTGACTTTCAGTATGTTCCAGTGCCCGATTCCAATTTCGATCACGATCTTGACGACGATACTGATCGACGGGATACTTATTCGTACCTACGCTATCGACTACGGGACTTGTTTCATCCCCCGCGCCGCAAATGACAGCATGCAGGGCCCGAAGCCCTGGCGATGCCTCAGAAAATCGCGCCGCTGCGTCACGGCTGGCTGAAAGGGCGGCGCTGGGGGCTTTCTCGTGGACTCCTCTTGGGCAGGCAACACAGCAGGGGTTGCACGGAGAGACGCGGGCTGTGGCGGGCGGAGTAATACGGTCAGCCATGCGCCTTCAAGCCGACCAATTTGCGAACTCTGGGGCACTGGATGGGTATGGGTGAGTTCGAAATTTGAAGGAAAAAAACTCTGGAGGTCGTGGCGCTTACGACGCCCATCGACCTAACGCCATCTTGCAGGTGGCGGAGCTGAAAGCCTGGAGAGTGGGCAATCTCCATGCGTGCGCGTCCATCGCCCAGCGCGAGAGTACCTGCGAATTCCACGCGCGCTGGCAAAGACGACAAGGACAAGGGCAAAAGCCAAGACCTGACAAGCGTGGATCCATGTTTGTTCTACATTAGTCGGTACTGCACTCGAGCCAAAAACTGCAAGTCATTCGCCAATGATTTGTGCCGCATTTGCCATCAGCCCTGACACTGGGACAACGAATGACCATCCAGGACTCCAAGACCATTCCTTGGGGTGGGGCGGGAGGTAGGACATGGACAACCTTGGCAGGGGCCCCGGCAGAAAGGCGACGCCAAAAACAACTGGACAGCCTTAGGAAAAGACGGGGCAACGGACACCGAGGAAAAATGGAACTGCAACCCGAGCGGACCCGGCGCTTACACCACAGCAGTCCGCGGCAAGCATGGAAGTCTGTCACAGACATGTTACAGAAATAAATGGAAGAACACAAGCCGAACTACAAGGGCATGGAGGTCATCCTGGAGAGGGGATCTGGACAACTGCATGTGTCGATGGATGGCGATGCCGCAGCTGAACGACGTGTTGTTCGCGGTAAGGATAACCGTCATGCCATAAATCGTAAGCCCTTTCCGGAACCCATCGTTCGCGAAACGGCGAACAGCGTGACGGTCGCCACCGAACAGGCAGACGTCGTCTGCGGCGTCGTGCCACTGTATTACTGCTGCCTCCTTGGCATCTCGTATGATGACACTGGTGTTTCTGACCGAAGAGGGGTGGAAGAACTGCCAACGTTGTTCTGGCGTTGTTCAGTACATGTTGAGGCAGTGATGCAAACTGTTCCTATTGATGTGGATCACGCACCTCACCCTAATCCGAGTCATCGACCCGCATGGAAGTGCCAGCGCGCCGGCACGACCTCTGACACAAGCTCGAAGTTCCAATGGGTAAGCACTATCGCAGCCGCGCCAACTACGCCAAACCAGCAGGCACGCTCTGCGCGCGAGCTTGCGCGCGCGTCCGAGGCCGCAGAGGCGCGCCAGCTAGCGCAAAGCAGTCACCGCAATCGGGGCAGCATGGGCTTTGCAAAACAAGTTGCGGGAGGAAGCGTGGGATGTTTGCGCGAGTTGTAAAATTGACATTTCATTCGTGACTTAGTTAGCCCCTGTCTATCAGTTTTCCTGTATTTCGAAAAAGACTCAGGGTCGATCGGTACATCTACTGACGCATGCTCCACTGGCACAATCGCACTCTCGATGACACACACACACACACGCTGTTTTTCCCCAGGCACTCCTCCCCCCTCAGTGCACGGAAAAGAGGTCAACACACAATCCTGGCGCGTCCGCCAGTGAAACGCTACAGCACTGATCAGGCACAGGGCATAGGAGATGGAGAGGAATAAGAAGTCTATGATATACTTCGTCGTGGTTATGGACATGACGAAGGACGCTAGGCAACCGCGGGTCGGGTCTGCACGACGGATCTTGACTCTCTACAAACCGGCTTGAGCCAAAGCGGTATCGGTCGACACGCTTTGACATTCGCTGCTGCTACATGCCACATGCACCATCCTGCCTAGGCATGCCGAGCACCTTCCCAGATCTCGGGAGATCAAGGACACTTTCATTCGGGGTAGGCATTATCCGCGCAAGTCTGCTAGCTGCAAGTGCACTCGGCATTCGTGGCAGTTCAAACCAACAGGATACGATCGCTCCAGACCAGAGCGAGGCAGACGGCCACCGACGAGGCAAGCTGCGAAAAGAACAGAGCACAGCCCCAGGTGGGAAGCCCGACTGGCAGATTCCAAGCGAAAGTCAACAACTAGAAAGCAGGCAAAGCGCGAGGGGGGCACTCACCGATCATCTCCAACATCAGAAGTCGCCCATAAGCGTAGGATAGGTTATCAAGCCAATCCACCCCTCGTCAAAGCGTCGCTAATCATGGCCCGAGTGTTTACCCACCGAAGCCCATGCAGAGTTCCCACTTCCAAACGATCTCGCAATGATCGAAGCAAATACAGCAAATGAGGTGCAGCTGACGCCCCGAACTCTGCGGCGCCAAGAGCAGAAAACAAGTCCGTTGCCCGCGCAGAGGTGTAGATCCAGTGGAAGTCCCCCTGTGTCCATGCATCTTCGAATCTGCTTCGCGGCAAGGCGTCCACGGGCACTTTCGCACATCATCACTTGCGTCAACAAGGCTTCGTTGATGCTATCATCTACACTCGCCAACTCCGCTGGCAAAGTTGAACAGCGCACTCGAGGCTGCTTTCGCGAAAGGAACTCTACGGCTGCGCACCGTCCGCCAGTCGGCATGAAGCCGATCCCTACCTGCTGCTCTGATACCAGACGATCAGGTCCTGCCCCCCCAACTGCACTGACCGGAAACCCCGCGACACTCCAGGGCAGAGACACGGCATGATATACGAGCGAGTTATGCTTTCTCTTGACCCAGCGGACTACCGAGCTCAGATGTCGCACACGCTCCCAGCGCGGTTCGCGAGCACGTCGCTGAAGATAGCCGACGTGCACTGCGACGTCGGCCCTGGTCAACAGCATCCATGCTGCTCCGCCAAGAGACCAAAAAGCTGCCCGACCCTGCTGTTCCAGAGGTTCGTCATCCTTCCAGGCTTTCTACACTGGCACGGGCCTCAACTGCGCCGCATAGCGATCTTGAGAGCATCACGCTGATCCGTCCGCATGCTGCTCGCGAACAACTCCACAAGATTCAAATGTCCGCTTCTGCCGCGCGCTTCCCAAGCTCCAAGTCCACTGCGTCCAGAAAAGCGTCCGCCAGCTCCTCAGTAGATGCGTCCTCGAGATCATCCACCTGAGTGCCGCATGCCATATGACGGTCCTCGATCGCATCCTTCGCATTGGCAAATGCTATATCCGATACGCGAAACCTATCATCGTCTGCTGACCGAGGCACAAGCTCCCTGGGAAGAGGTTCACATCTCGCCCCTGCCCACTTGCATAGAACCGTGGATCTGCGACTGACGAAAGCAATCGCAACTTGGTCATCGCCTGCTTCAGTCTGAGATGCCAAAATCTCGGTGAATCTTCCAGGCCAAAACCGGAAAGCACCATTTCCAGACAATGCTGGCTCGCGTCGAAGTCCGACAGCTGCTGGAACTGCCCCGTGGTCTTCGCAGTGTCCCTGGGCAGGTCCAGATGAGCTGTCCTCAGAGGGTCGCCCGTCGGATCTGCCACACATCGAAAAGTCAATCCCTTCAGGAAAGCACTGCCAACGTCGCGAGACCACGACGCCCCCTGCGGGCGACTCGCCGCTTCAAAGTTCACGAACGGCTGTCTCTGTCTCGATGCCGACGCGCTAAACGTGCCAACGCGGTCCTGATGCATATCCGGTAAGCCCTTGATGCACAGGCGGGCCGTGATGACTAGCTTTCCATCGGGCTGCTTCCTCCATCGAATGACCCATCTGGAACTCATCAAGTTGGCGCACCCTCGCCGGTTGCGTTGCTCAAGCGAGCCAAGCTCAATCCAGTTGTCGAGTTCTTCAAGCACGGCTAACTTCCACTCGATGCTTGATCGGGCGCTCCTTCGCAAGTTCATCTGCTTTCCGTCCGATCACCATCTTGGCTTTGCCCGAGAAGCTCACATACGACACCGCGTAGTGACCTTTGTCAGCTGCAATCAGAGATATGACCTCTGACGCCGTTGCGAGGGCAACGCCCACGGGTCAGGACCGCAAGCTTCGAAACCTCCGCGCTGAACTCCACCGCCACTGGCTCCTCTGGAATCTCCTGTTTGCCTAGCGCCTCTTCCACCTGGACCGCCTCCACGACTCTGGAGCCCATGCAGCATCCAGCGTCAGACGGGAAGGAACTGTCCAAGATAGAATGGTAGAATCCGAGATCGTTCTCCATCTGCCCTGACAATCAGGGGTCCCAGGGGTCTGACCACGACTCCTGCACGTCAGACTTCGCGTTGGGTTCAATCCTAGATGGTCGATGGAACGGCCTCCACGTTGGTCGCAAGAGCTCCAAATCAGCGCCCGGATCTCTGGGATGCGCTGTGCGCTGAGCCTCCAGCTCCGACGCCGCTGACTCGGCGTCGATCGCAGCCCCGGGACTTGGCAAACGATGTTCGGGGCGATTTCCGCCATCAGCATCCTCACGTGGTCGCACCTGTCCTCGAGGCGGCGGGCCCGGCACCTCGCTCGCCACGGGATAGTCCGACACGTCTTGCGGCCCGCGAATGCGAAGGAAATGCACGCCCAGTTGTCTCAGCACTGTCACCGTGGCCGCTTTCACCATGTGAAACTGCGCCCAGCACGTTCTGGTATTATCTTGATTCAGTGAATGTTGCGCGCTCGCCTTCTGCCGAGGGTTGTAGCTCGCGTGGTGATGCCTGGCGGTTCCCCCAGGCAACCACCACGCAATCAGACAGGCACGACGCCCACGAGCTGGGGACATCTCTTCGTGCTGGATCCGAGCGTGACTGTAAGCACCCCATGCAGCTGGAAATCACAAGCACCGGCATGAAAGGCTGAAGACATCCAGGTTGGCAGACGCTTGCTGGCACGAGCTAACCTCCAGCCCCCATCTCGTCCGATCTCGTAGCCCCAATGGCATCGTCGTCATATTCGCCATGGTCTCGACATTATATACCAAGAGCTGGCACGGTTTGACGCATCCTCTTCTGGGCGCAGCCAGTACCGTGATCCAAGTAACTCTCTGCGCACGTCCGCTGGCCGACATGGCAAGGTCCTCCCTGCCACCTGACTCACTGACATGTATGACGCCCTCGTGTGCTCGGTCCATAGACATCACCTTGCAAGGTCCACGCTAGCTGGCGACGCCCTTTCTTCGCGGATGCCTGAAGATGTCCGCCTGATCGCCCAGCTTGACATCGCCGAGCGGCGCTGCTGGTAGCGTTTGCGCCCTCGCTACCAGTTGCAATCGTTCCTGCGCGTTCCATCGAATGACGTTGGCCAAGGTCAACTCTCGCACTCGATACACGCGCCGTGAAAGCTCGCCTCCCGCTTCACCATCCAAGTCAGCTCCCGCGCCGCCAAGTACCAGCAGAATGTCGGGCACCAGAAACGAGAAACATCGGCGCCCCGTAGACTCTGAACCAGATGCGCGCGATCGATGGCAGCACGTCGCCTGGCCCCTTCGACTTCACAAACAGGCCCTGAGCCCCGCTAACGCTCATACCTGTAGGATGCACCACGATGCCGTCGTTCGGGGATTAATAGATCAAACTGCATTCCCTCGATGAACGCCGCCACGAAGGCGAGGCTCGCGATTGACTTGTTGTCGCGACGCTGCACCACACGACACGCAGTGCAAGTGCCCACCGCGCCCTGCAGCACGTCGATCACCTCAGTCGGCAAGCCTGCGGCTCAGAGAAGATCCTGCGGTCGTCCTCAGCTGGCACAACAGCACCCTCAGCTGGCACGACGGAACCCTCAGTTGGCACAACAGCACCATCGGCGGGCGCGGCAGCAACTCCTCCAGAGGGGAGCACCAGCTCCACCCGAAGACGCCGCCTCAGCGTGAAGCGGCATCTCCGCCTCGTTTCCGGCTCGAGGGTGCACCCGATGTCCTGCCCCAGCCGCTCGCGAGGCCAGTGCTCGAGGAGCGCGGGCATGAGCCCATCCCGAAGAGGGGCGGGAGTACCGACTGTCCGAGAACATGACCAGGCGACAGTTGGTGTCGCGCGCGCGGCGAGAGTCGAACCTGTCCCCGACCGCGACACATGCTGGGCACGAGTACTCCTCGGACTCGATCGGCGGACGCCTGCACTGCCAAGGAATTTGAATGTAAGAGGCGCGCGTTCCCACCCGATTCCCCCTGCACCCCCGACAGTAATTGATCGCACCTGCCTTCGCCAGAGCCTTCCGACGAGGTCGCGGAGCATGTTGTCCTGGCGGCGGCGCCGCCGCCTCCGCCGGGGGCGCTGGAGCCAGCACAGGCGGGGGGTCGATCGCCGCTGGCGCCCCGGCTGGATTCAGTCGAGTGCACGAGGCAACCGCAGGATAAACAAACCGTCGCGGATTCAGTTCACGCGGCGATATCAACTCAGAAACCCCATCTGCCAGCGTCCGTGCGAACTGCCAAGTCCGACAGCTGCTCGACCTGCCTGGCGATCTTCACAGCGCCCTCAGACATGCCCAGTTGGACTGTCCTGAGGGTTTGCCCGTCAAGTCTGCCACATCTTGAAAAGTCCATCCCTTCAGAAAAGCACTGCCAACGTCGCGGGGCAACTACACCCAACGCGGGCGACTCGCCGCATAAAAATTCACGATGCGCTGACTGTCTCGATGCCGTCGCGCCACGTGTCCAGGCGGTCCTGCTGCATATCCTTGAAGCCCTCTGATGCACAGACGGGCCTTGGTGCCTAGCTTTCCACCGGGCTGCTTCTTTCAACGAATGACCAGTCTGGAACCCATCAAGGTGTCGCGCCCTCGCCGGCTGCGTTGAATAAGCGAGCCAGACTCCATCCACTTGTCAAGTTATCGCAGCGTGGCCTTTTCAACTTCCAATCGATGCTTGATCGGGCCCTCCCTGCGCAAGCTCATCTGCTTCTCGTTCGAGCACCGTCTGGGTTTTTGCCCGACGAGCTCACAACCAACACCACGTAGTGACCATTGTCAGCTGCAGAGAGATATGACCTCTGACGCCGTCGCACCGGCATCGTCCGCGGCCAGGACCAAAAGCTTAAAGACCCCCGCGCTGAACTCCACCGCCACTGGCTCCTCCGAAATCACCTGCGTGCCTAGCGCCTCTCCCACCTGGACCGCGTCCACGACTCTGGAGCCCATCCTGTATTCAGCGTCAGGCGCGCAGGAACTGCCCAAGACAGAGCGGTAGGATCCGAAGTCGTTCTCCATCTGTCCTGGCCATCCGAGGCCCCAGGGCCCCCTCCGACCACGGATCCTGCACATCTGAATTCGAATTGGGTTCGACCTCATAGGGCCGATTGAACGGTCTCCACGTTGGTCGCAAGAGCTCTGGATGAGCGCCTGGGCCCCCAAGACGCGCTGTGCCCTGAGCCTCCGGCTCCGACGCCCCTGACTCGGCGTCGATCGTAGCCCCGGGACATGGCCAACGATGTTCGAGGCGGTCTCCATCATAAGCATCCTCACGCGGTTGCACCTGTCCTCGAGGCGGCGGGTCCGGCACCTCGCTCACCACGGGTAAGTCCGACACGTCTCGCGGCCCGCCAACGCGAGGAAAATGCGCGCCGGGTTGCCCCAGCACTGTCGCTGCGGCCACATCAAACATGAGAAACTGCACCCAGCACGCTCTGGCATAATCTTGACCCTGTACATGCTACGCGCTCGCCTTCTCCTGAGGGCCGTAGCTTGCGCGGCGATACCTGTCTGTCTCCAGGCAACCACCACGCTGTCAGACACGCGCGCGCGATACCCGCGAGCTCGGGGCATCTCTTTCGCGCTGGATCCGAGCCTGACTGCAAGAACTCCACGCAGCTGGAAATCACATGCACCGACATGAAAGGCTGCACACATCAAGCTTGGCAAACGTCAGCTCGCACGAGTGAACCTCCAGCGACCATCTCGTCCGATCTCGCACCCCAGAGCACCGTCGTCGTCTTCGCCATGTTCTCGACAAAATACACCAAGAGCTGACACGGCTGGACGTCTTCCCTTCCAGGCGCGGCCAGGATCGCAATCCACGTAACTGCCCTGCGCACGTCTGCTGGCCGACATGGCAAGGTCCTGCCCTGCCACCTGGCATCTGTGATGCCCTCGTCTGCTCGCTCCATAGACATCACCCTGCAAGGCCCACGCCAGCCAGCGACGCCCTCGTCCGACGGAGCCCTGAAGATGTCAACCTGGTCGCCCGGCTTGACATCGAGGAGCTGCGATGCTGGTCGCGCTCGCGTCCTCGCTGCCAGTTGCAGTCGCTCTTGCGCAGTTCCTCGAACGACACTGGCCAAGGTCAACTCTCGCACTCGACGCAAGCGCCGCGATATCTCGCCTCCTGCTTCACCATCCGATTCAGCGCCCACGCCGCCAAACACCAGCAGAATGCCCGGCACCCTCCCGAACAAAGCAGCGTAGGAAGTCGTGCCATGCACGCTCAACAGGGCGTTCTGCGCGAAGAGCGACTTGTCTAACACCTCGTCCTTGGTCACTCGTATGCCTTCTTCTCGCGTCTGACCCCGAGTTTGACGATACTGACGTCTAAACAGATCATCCCTTCTCTCGACGACGCGCGCGCTCCATCCTGCTTGCGTTTCAGTTCCACCTTCTAGCGGTCCGCCCAGACGGCTCCCTCATCTGAGAAGAGCGCGCCTTCCTGATCAGGAACGATGAGCTTCGGCGCCCCATGGACCCTGAACCAGATGCGCGCCTTCGCTGGCAGCACGTCGCCTGGCTCCTTCGACATCACAAACAGGCCATGAGCCCAGCGAGCGCATATATCTGCAGGATGCACCACGACGCCGCGCCCCCCCCCCCCCAAAAAAAAAAGCCCCGCAGGCGTTGAGCGGGCACATCACAGCCGAATATGCAAGCGTCGCAACGTGCGCCGTACCATTCCTGAGGCAGCAGATCGCAGCCCTTTTTGAATAACACGTCTCATATCCCAGTGTGCCCAGACTGGTCCGGCATCGATCTGCGAGATTGTATCTTGGAAGCGTCGTCGTCGAAGGGCCACCTCCTCGGCACCGGCCCGGGCCGGCGCATCTGCTCCTTCACCTGGCACAACAGCATCCTCAGTTGGCACGACTGCACCCTCAGTTGGCACAACAGCACCATCGGCGGGCGCGGCAGCAGCTCCTCCAGAGGGCGGAGCACCAGCTCCACCGACTCCGCCGCAGGGTGAAGCGGCACCTCCCCCTCGTTCCCGCTCGAGGGCGCACCCGATGTCCTGCCCCAGCCGCTCGCGAGGCCAGTGCTCGAGGATCGCGGGCGTGAGCCCATCCCGAGGAAAGAGTACCGACTGTCCGAGGACCCTCAATGACTGGGCAACAGTTGGTGTCGCACGTGCGGCGAGAGTCGAACCTGTCCCTGCCCGCCTTACAAGCGGGGCACGAGCACTCCTCGGACTCGACCAGCGGGCGCCTGCACCGCACAGGAATTCGATTGTAGGAGGGGCGCGTTCTCACCCGATTCCCCCTACACCCTGGACAGTAAGTGATCACATCTGCCTTCGCCAGCTCATTCCGACGAGGTCGCGGAACAGGATGTCCTGGCGGCGGCGCCGCCGCCTCCGCCGGAGGTGCTGGAGCCGGCAGTCCAGATGGGGGGCCGATCGCCGCCGATACCCCAGCTGGATTCAGTCGAGGGTACGAGGCAGCCGTAGGATAAACGAGCCGTCGCGGATCCAGTTCACGCAGCCAAATCAACTCAGAAATCCCGTCTGCCAGCGTCCGCGCGAACTGCCAAGTCCAAATATGCGAAGGTCTCGTCCCTGTCAGAACGTTATCTTGTCCGTGCAGGTGTCGATCACAGACCTTCGAACGAAGCCGATACACCAGCACCTCATGGCTGGCCCATACCTCCTCCGGCTTGCTCAGCGGTTCTTGTTGGCGCTCATCAGCCCCAGCATGCACATATTGAAGCTGCCCATGCCATGCTTATCTTCGCCAAACTGACCCACTCAGGCACTGGGCGGATCGCTGGGCGGGAGTTCACAATGCCCGGTTCAACGTCCAATCCGACGTGGGGGGGGCGATCCTGCCGACATCTCGGGCGGGGCTCAATCAACGCACGGGGGGGTCTCAGTGAACGTACGGGGGTGGCTCAGTCAACGCACGAGGGGTGGCTCAGTCAACGCAGGGGAGGTCTCAGTCAACGCACTGGGGTGGACGGTTTGCGCAACATGTGGGGTCGAAGAAGTTCCTGGCAAGATCGGAAAAAAACGCACTTTTTGTGATGGTTTTTCGTTTTGACAAATTAGCGGTCGGCGTGCGAAACTCTGTAGATCAGACCCGGCGGCAGCGTGCACCCATGAAATCTCGCAACCCGTCACGGTCCAGCTGTCCCCCCCATGGTTCCCAGCCGGGAGTGGCAGGGGAGGTCTCATTCAACGTACTGGGGTACTGGGGTGGACGGCTTGCGCAACATACGCAATCGAAGAAGTCCCTGGCCAGATCAAGAAAAACTCACTTTTTGTGAGGGCTTCCGTCCTAAAAATGATACTGGTAAGAAAACCCAATCAGAGTCATTGCTTGATCTTACATGAGATCCCTTAGCAATCGCTCCTTAGGTTTATGAAGTCTGCGAGGGCTATGAAGCCCCTGAGGGCTAGGGTTATAGGGCTACAAGGCTACAGGGCTATAGAGCTGTAGGGCTATAGGGCTATGGGGCTGTAGCGCAGTAGGGCTACAGGGCTATAGAGCTATATGGGCTATATGAGCTATATGGGCTATAGGGCTATAGGGCTAGAGGCCTATAGGGCTATAGCCCTACACGGCTATAGAGCTATAGGGCTATATTGGCTATTGGGCTATTGGGCTATTGGGCTATAGGGCTATAGAGCTGAAGGGCTATAGGGCTATAGGGCTGAAGGGCTATAGGGCTATAAGGCTTTAGGGCTATAGGGCAATAGAACTTCCGGGCACCTGGGCACCTGGGCACCCCGGGGCACCTCCAGGCACCCCCGGGCACCTCCGGGCAACCCCGGGCACCTCCGGGCACCCCCAACCACCCAGGCAATCGGGCATGCGGGCACCCCCGGGCACCCTGGCACCCGGGCACCCGGGCCGGCCACCGACATCGGCGACGCACCTCACCTAACCATATGATACCGGAGGAAAAAAACAATCAGGGATCTTTTTGATCTTACATGAGATCCCTTTGTAGTTGGTCCTTAGGTTTATGAAGTCTGCGAGGGCTGTGAAGGCCATGAGGGCTAGGGCTATAGGGCTAGGGCTACAGGGCTATAGGGCTATCGGGCTGTAGGGCTACAGCGCTGTAGGGCTGTAGGGCCATGGGACTGTAGGGCTATAGGGCTATATGGGCCATAGGGCTATAGGGCTATAGGGCTATAGGGCTATGGGAGTATTGGGCTTTGGGGCTATTGGGCTGTAGGGCTATAGAGCTAAAGGGCTCTAGGGCTATAGGGCTATAGGGCTATAGGGCTATGGGGCTATGGGGCTGTAGGGTTATAGGCCTACATGGGCTATAGGGCTACAGGGCTATAGGGCTATAGGGGGCAATAGGGCTATAAGGCTGTAGGGCTATAGGGCTGTACGGCTATAGGGCTATAGGGCTATAGGGCTATAGGGCTATAGAGCTATAGGGCTGTATGGGCTATGGGGCTATTGGGCGGTTGGGCTATAGGGCTATGTAGCTGAAGGGCTATAGGTCTCTAGGGCTCTAGGGCTATAGGGCTACAGGGCTACAGGCCTATAGGGCTACAGGGCTATAGGGTTATAGGGCTACAGGGTAATAGGGCTATAGGGCTATAGGGCTATATGGCTATAGGACTATAGGGCTATAGGGCGATAGGGCTATAGTGCTATATGGCGATAGAGCACCCGGGCACCCGGGCACCTGGGCACCCCTGGGCACCTCCGGGCACCCCCGGGCACCTCCGGGCACCCCCGGGCACCCCCGGGCACCCGGGCACCCGGGCACCCCCGGGCACCTGGGTACCCAGGCACCCGGGCACCCGGGCACCCGGGCGGGCAACCGAAATCGGCAACGCACCTCACCTAACCATATGAATCCACTAGGACCCCTACAGAAGCAAGCTCTGATTGGGGAATGAATCCGCTAGGACCCCTACAGAGGCAAGCTCTGATTGGGGAATTAGCGGTCGGCGTGCGAAACTCTGTAAATCTGACCCCGCGGCGTCGTGTACTCATGAAATCTCGCACCCCGTCACGGTCCAGCTGCCCCCCCCTGTCCCCGCGGCCCCCCACAGCGCAGCGCGGTATCAGGGGCGGAACTGCGACAGGACCCCATTGGCCGGAATTGTGCCCCATCGGGAGCTACTCAGGATTTTTTCGGCTCCAAGGCCCTGGTGGGTGCGTTCGCATAAAGCATAAGAGCATAAGGCATAAATGTCCCACGCTCATTCCAGCAGACCCCCCACATGTTTCGCGCCCTAGGGAGCTCCAGTGGAACCTCCACCTCCTTCCCCCCCCGTCCGTAGCCATTTTGAGGAGGAGGAGGAGGAGGAGGAGAAGGAGGAGGAGAGCGAGGAAGGATTTGATGATGAGGATGAGGATGAGGATGAAGAGGATGAAGAGGATGAGGGATGAGGATAAGGATGACGGAGACCCAATGACGAGGCGACTCACGGCGACAGAGAGCCGAGCTAGAGGCCAGCTTCCCGAGTTACAAGCCACCGACGGCAAAATGGTCCGTGATGGGGACATGTGCCGACGGGCCGCCGACGAGCCGCAGAAGGAACCTCCTGGGGCCTCCGGGGGCCTCCTGGACTTTTCAGGGCCTCATGGGGCCTCTTGTTGCCTCCAGGGGCCTCTCGGGGCCTCCTCGGGCCTCCTGAGGGTATCCTGAAGCCTCCTGCGGCCTCTTGGGGCCTCCTCTGGTCTCCTGAGAGCCTCGTGGAGTTTCCTGGGACCTCTTGGGTCTTCGGGTGCCTCCTGGACCTCGCAGGGAGGCTCCTGGGGCCTCCTACTGTCTCCTGCTGCCGCTTGGGATCCTGAAGCCCCATGGGGCTTCTTGGGGCCCCCATCGGGTCTCCTGAGGGCCTCGTGGAGCCTCCTGGGACCTCTTGGGGCATCCTCGAGCCTCCTGAGGGCCTCCCGGGCCCTCCTTGAACCTCCTGGGACCTCTTGGGCCTCCTCGGGCCTCCCGAAGGCCTCCTGAGGGCCTCCTGGGGCCTCCTGGGCTCCCGGGGCCTCCTCGGACCTTCAGGGCCTCCTGAAAGCCTCCTGCGGCCTCCTGGAACTCTTGGAACCTCTTGGAGAATCCTGGAACTTCCTGGAAAACTCGAGGACATTGCTGAGGCTGCCCTGATACCAGCCCCCATCAGACTCAGTCCCAAGCGCCTGGTGCCACAGGGCGATGGCCTCCACGAGCGGCGCAAGCTTCGCGGCGGCTTCGGCGTCGATCATTCTCTCAAGCTCCGATTCTAACCCGACGGGGGCGGGGTCGGCGGGACCTGGAACCTCGTCGGGTTTCTGGCGGACGTCCAAGGCGATTCGGGCGCCCCCCGGAACGCTCTCGGCGCGTCGCAACTGCAAGAGAGCATCCCGAACTGCTCCTACCCTCGCCCAACACTATTTTTACCTAACGTCCTCGAATTTTGGGATTACCGTCCGGGATTAGCGGGCCTCCCGGGCAGCTCCCGGGCCCCGACCTCCCGGACGGCGTCCCCCATGTAGTCCCGTTAATGAAATCGCCGACCCCGCCCCCCTCGATCCGGCCGGCTCCGCCCCCCTCGGGCGAGGTGGTCGACACTTGGCTGGAATCCGAGCTTGAGATGATGATCTACGCCGACGACGCCGCGAAGCCTGCGCCGCTCGTGGAGGCCATCGCCGCGTGGCAGGGGGTCAGTCAGACTTACAGAGCTTCGCACGCCGACCGCTAATTTTTCAAAACGAAAACCCTCACCAAAAATACGTTTTCCGCGGTCTAACCGGGGACTTCTTCGATCGCACATGTAACGCAAACCGTCCACCCCAGTACGTTGACTGAGACCCCCCGTACGTTGACGGAGCCACCCCCCGCACGTTGACTGAGCCAGCCCCGCACGTTGACTGAGACCCCCAACGTGCTTTGACTGAGCAACCCCATGGGGTAGGCAGAGGAACCTTCACTGCGTACCCCGCCGACGGGCCGGGGCGGAATTGTGACCGGACCTCTAAACCCCCTTTTAAAAATTCACCCAGCTCCGGCATGAGGTACATGCGACTTCCCCGAAGCAGCTCGCTCACATAGCGTCGTCCAACGTCGATCAAACGACGAGCAGCATCCGCACATTTTCTTTCAAGATGATAAGAGACCTCCGCGCTGCGATGATGCACTTCGCTGCCGATCGCTTCGTTGACCGTGCACCATCCTGATGTGGCCGTACATTGAGGCGCCATAAATACCACTCCTGCAGGTAACGACACAATTCACCCTCCTCGTCCTGCTGCGAGATCCACACTCATAATTGCATCAAAGTTGCGTCCGCCGATGCAACGTCGCCGAACAAGCAGCTGGGTCGCTCGACCTTCGCCGCCCCTGATCTCGACCACGTCCACGAAGAAATCGCCGACCTTCTGCCTCACCTGCGCCAAGAAGAATCGGCCCGACAAGATACCGAAAAAATGGTGACCTCGCTCGGTGGGTCGATCAACGTGGAAACGACGAATGACGCCGCGGGCGTCGATGTCGCTCTGCCCCGGGAAATTACACATGACCCCATTGCCCGGCACCCCCCGCCAACAGACTTCCAATGGCGAACCGAGCCCACCCAGATCCTCGCCACGATCACCCATCACATCTGGGAACAAGATCCACGCGATCTTCCTCGTGGGCCGCTGTCCTCCAGCTCTTTGAGATCATGGCTTCTTCGCGCAGGATTCGGCAGAGTCCGCGGGAAAGAAGCTCGCCGTCGCGGGCAAAGCCACCGAGGGACGCGCGTCGACTGCCCCGTCTGGCCCAGTCTAACGATATCGAGCTGCTCGCTCATCATCGGCCGTCGCACGGTCACCATCATTCACCACGTCGATTAGCATATCTCGAAGTTGGTCATGCCAGGAGGCCGCCAAGAACCAACATCTTAGCACGGGGTGCCCCACGCCAGTACATATGCGATGATCTGCATCAATCTCCCCACAGCAACGAGGATCTGAGCGAAGATCAACAGTCGTGGACAACCTTTGACTCGCAGCGGGCGTGATATCGCTTCCAGATTGAGGGTGGCTGCACCATCTGTGATCGGTCATCGCGCATCCTGGCAGGGTCGTCGTCGCCGCCCCTGTGGCACCCCCTCTGGCCAGGCCTCATTCATTGTCATAATCTGAGTATCGACCAGCAACACACATCTAAGTTAAATGAGACGAGCGATGAGCATTGAGGCCGCCACAAATCGCTGCCTCTGCTCGCCCCTCCAGCCCTGCTTGCGAGCGAGGTCCCCAACGGCAGGTTGGGCTCGCATCCACGCCCCCATCGGCGCATTCCCCGTTCCAGGAATCTAAAAACACATTCCATGGTCGACAGATGCAGCAGACTCAAACGCGCAAACTCGGCGTTCGCCTGGACCAGCAACTTGGCGCGGATCGGACGGCCGTCGCCCTCATCGACCACGATCATCTCCAGGCCCTCCCCAGGAACATCCAGGTGCCCAGCCGCCCATTCCACTGCGGCGCCGCCGCCGCATGCTAGCGGCAGCCCGCGGCCGCAACGCGATGCCAGATCCTCCGACGAGGCGGCCGCCGGAACGATCCCCTGCGTCTTCGCGCCCTCGCCCGTGCTGTCCTTCGCCCCGCGGGGATGCCGAGTCGCGGGCCCCCGTTTCTCTCCGGCCCAAGCGCCCTTGCCTCCGCCCAGAAAGTGCGAGACGGAAAGCGGCAGATGTCCGGGTCGCGACGTCGAGGGGTCGGAGACGAGCGCCCCGGGCGGGGGAGCGAATGGGGCCCCCCCCGGCCCGCACAAGTACAGCTTGCAATCGATCAGACCCAGCACCGCCCGATTCTGCTCGAGGCCGCGCTGCCCCCGCAGCGCGGGGATGTCGGAATTGGGGGCCGCCGGCGCTGGTTAATCCAAATGGCGCGCCTCGCCCGGCACGTCCTTCGCGGCGCCCGGCACCTCGGCCTACCCCGTCGGCGATCTGAGCGTCGGCTCCGACGCCGCCCACGCCGATATATTTGTCCATATCCGTCTGCGTCGGCCCCAGCTGCGCCTCCCACGCCAGCACGCCCCGCGCTCGACCCGCCGGTCGCGCGCCAGATTGTCGCGGGCCCCATGGGCCGATCAACAGGCACTCCACACCCTCCGCCCTCGTCGCTTCCAGAAACGCCCGCCTGGTCTCGCCGCACCTCTCGAACACAGGAGCCACGAACCACTTCAGAACAGAAGCGTCTGCGCTCTCGGCCTCGCCCGCTCGATCATCTGCGCGGCCTCGTTTCCGACTGCCACGTGCTCCGAAGACGTCGAGAGCAGACCCTGCGAGGCCGACGAACCGCAACCACGGCGGACATCTTCGCCGGGAAGCACGCCTGGCCGGGACTGTGACTGGCACAAGCGCGAGCCCTCCTTCATCTCGCATTCCATATGGATATGGCCCTTTCACCTCCAGGCAGTATATGTCTTCGCGCTCCACCTCGTCCTCTGGCGCCACGAAGAAGTGCCTCGTCGCCGGCGGCGCCGAAAGCTGGCCAGTCAGCTGTTGCCACTGCTGCAGATCGCTCGCAGGCTGCCTGACATTGCTGCCGGCCGCCTGACGTGGCTCGACGCTGGCGAGGCTCTTCAGCCCCTGGGGCATTGCACATCCGCCACAAATGCGTCTCGCTGCCATTGGTCGCACTTGAGCGGCTGTCCGTTCGAGCAGCGCGGGCTGGCCCTGTCGCCCTTTCCCTTTCCCTTGCAATACTCGCGCGCGTTCCATGCACAGTCGGGACAAGGAGCTCCACCACCGATTGCTGATAGGAATCGACCACCCACTGCTGCGCTGAAACCGAATGACCTTCTTGCCTCTGCTCTTGCCTGTGCCAGAGTATTGGCGTTTGCGAGGTGGTCGATCTGTCCGACGACGCGGATGCTTCTTGGCCATCGCGTATATATCTTACAGATCCTCGTCTGAAATATTTGGTCCAAGCTCAATCGTGGTCTCTGTCAAGGCCACGCCGTCATCTTCGCTGCTCTCGGTCATGTCCTGACCTTCTTGGTTATAGAAAGCCTGTTGACAGGAGCTGCACCAGCATCCGTCTGCATTATGAGCCACGCTTGCTCCTCCAGCGGCGCCGCCTCGCAATCGTCCCGATTATGACGAAGCAACCCCAGGAAAGCACGGCTGCTGTTGCGTTCCTGAAGTGTGCCCGCGTCCTGCTGCTGGCTGTTGTCCGAAGAGAAGAATCCGTCCGTTTCACTTCGCGTCTGGTCCATGTACTGATGCTGCTGCTGATGCCTTGATTGACGTGCTGCTTGTGCCAATCAACTCCGCTCGCACAGATGACGCTGCGGCCGAATGACAGCTGTCGGTGCCGCGAGGCACGCCTCGTTCGCTGGTAAGCTGCCTCCCATCAATGCCAAGAACTCAGCCCGTTGATTCAGTGGTACACCAAGCGCATTCAGCAACATCCACGCTAGGTTGGGCACGCCCATGTGGAATTTTCCTATATGATCTGGTTTGAACCCCGAAAGATCAAATCTGGTTAGCGTTTGATCTATCGGTTCGCCTGGTTTTCGTCGAAAACAACCAGGTCCAGCAATCGATGTCTCGATCTCGATTGGCAAAAACTTCCTGCGAAATCCATGGATGAGCAAATCCATTCCTGAGTGCCACCGGTTGCCGCTGCCGTCCCGAAAATCCAAACAGACCCCACCTTGAAGCTGCTGTGGAGGTACTTCTAATGACATCTCTCGTGGCAATCCTCCGAGCTGTAGTAAACCTGTAAGTGCCATCGAACGTGAGGGTATGTCGGTCGTGGTTTCCCACATTCGTACATCCGTGATCCAATCCTTCAGTGGGCAAACTGCTTCGCGACTTGGACCCAAATTCGGTGATACCTTCGTGTTCGACTGCATGATGAATCCAGTGGCTGGCCCAGCTCCACCAACACCTTCACGCATACCTGCCA